TTTTTTTTTTTTTTTTAAATAAGCACTGATGACATTTATCAGGCAAGCAACACAAGAATTATAAAGGGTTTTGTGAGGATTTGGGAAGTACATTTTTCCTTTAGTAAATAAACTATGATTGATTTATTGCCAGTAGTTTGAATTTCATCTGGTAGGATGCTTTTGCTTCAGTTTTAAATTGGTTTTAATATTAATCTTATAAAATGTACTAACAAAATCTGCGTTCATTGAGAATGTAATTAAATGATCTTAAAACCACAGAAGGTTAAGCCCTGAAAACAGAAATTTGTAATTTCTGTAATGATAATCAGTGGTTTCTTAAGGTAATACGTTATACACACTGAAAGGATGATTTGATTTGATTTTCTGCCTTAATTTATATATAGCTAGAATGTGACTTAAAACACTGTATTTGAATATTTAAATACAGCTTATAAAATTGTTCAAACACTGGTAACTGGGATGGGGGTTTGCTTGGTGAGGTGAGGAGGAAGGATCAGGAGCAAGGATTGCTTACAAGGGGGCTGACATCACTCTCTACCCTTTCTGTGTCTATTGAGTTTTACAGTAACCATTACTTTCATGATTCAAAGTGATATGAAAAATTAAGGTGGCAATTGAGTCTTCATTAATTCATAGGTAACTAATTCCTAGACAATTTGTTGAGTTTAATTTCTTGAAATAATAAGTTTTTTAAAATGTATAGTTTATCTTTCCTTCATCTTTCTGTGTCTTGTCAATCTGTGTTCCTTTCATCTAAAGTGCTGGCAGTTTTAGATTGATATCTTTGGTTTGGGGGGTAGGCAGAATTCTGTATTTGAGTTGCAATTGAAATTTCTTTAGGTAAGAAAAGACAAGCTTTAGTACTACTATAGGAAGAGAAACTGAATTTTTAATTTGCTTAAATGTTAATGTCTTAATAATATGCATTTTGGGTTGAATAAATTATTTCTAAAAGAATGTGCAAATTAAGTTTGAATTCATGTGACCACAGAATTAGATGTAATCTTACCTGAATGCTGAGGACTTGGTGAAACGTTAGAACGCCGGTGTTATTGGACATTATGAGCCTTACCCAGGGGAGTAGTTAGGTTTGAAGGAAGGTGTCAGCAGAAACTTGACAGACGCTGGTGGCAGCACGTATTATCTAAATGTTTCAGTGCCTTGGATTGGGAGCAATTGAGAAATTTGTATTTCAGTAAATTAATTTTTAAAATTTCTATTAAGTCTCAGCATAATCTGGTGAGTTGGCAATAGAATCAGTACCACATTATTCAGAATATCAAACACCAAGAACAACGATCCCATAGCTTCTGATGGATTTGAACACTAAGACTAAGTATATTTGGATTTACAAATGACTTGGGTATAGTAACATTGAAGAGAATGAAGAGAGGATTTTGGAATTCATTAATGCTTCTTGTATTTATGTGTGATGTTAAAAAGTGAATAGCTTGTTGATAATTACTTTTTAAGATACTTAAGTATGTATTTGACTACTTTGATCTAGAACCTCTTGGTCTAGATCTCGTAAGTATTTGGAGTAAAAAGAATTGTTACACTTGATTAGCCTTTGTGCCTTTAGGCTCACTTAAAATGCTATAAATTAGTTTAGGAGACTTAGATATGTATGTTAGTAGATCAGTGGTATCACAAGCCAATTTGGAATTCAGTGGTTGAAACTTAGACATTGAAGTGTTAACCAAAAATATATATATCATTTTAGAGCTTTTTTATATGATCTCAGTAAATAGAAGTAAAATATATGTTTTGACAAATGAAACAAAATTCCTACTCTCTCCAAGGAATACACTTTAAAATAATTGATGTAAATTATACATAATGGTGGGGTTTTCTCATCTATTTTTATAAGTCATGTTAAGCAAGAGTAAAAGTTAGAAGGTGACATTTCATTCTAGCTAAACTAAAATCACATATCAAATCTCATGTTTTTATTTGCTAAGTTGTTTCATTTATTGGAATCTTAAAATACATTGGTCCATGATATTTTAGAGTAAAGGTTTAAAATAGTAAACATTATTTTATAGGTTTATATAGACATTTTAAAATTCCAATTTAAAAATTCCAAGCTTTTAGATTTAAAAAATTTTGTGTCATTTTGCCAGTGTTCCTTTTCTGATCTCACCAGTCTCTACTCATTTTTAAATCTGTATTATACTATAAACATCCTCAAATCTGCCTGTTTTCTGCCAAAAGTATTTGGTGGTGGCGATAGCCATTCATGTGGCAGTGTGTCTGCATGAAGATGTCCAAAGCTGGCAACAGGAAGCAGGGTGCTGTTTTTTCCTTTGTGTGCCATTTACCCGGGCGTGGGATGTGATGAACTACTAAATGTTAGATATTTAATTGTTTTAAAGTATGTGGATTTTCTCCTTCGGTTGGATAAAGTAACTTGTAAGAACACATATTTTGAAATAGCATGTATCTCCATCTGAACAGGACTGCCAGACCACTTCAGGTTTCTTCTTCCTTCTCTCCACTCCCCTTTCCCCTTTCCTTTTCTTTCCTGTTTAGGGCACTTCCAAAGAGAATTGGAAATGGGTCCCTCTCATGGAGGAGGAAAGGTGACAGAGATTCCCACTTCAGGTTTTTACAACAGAGACTATGTAATGCAAAGAATAGGTGGTAACAGGCGGGGTGTTACTGACAGCCAAAAAGGTGGGCACAGAGAGGTGACCCAAAGATTAGCAACAGCAAGAAGCCACTGCCAGCCCTAGCTGAAGAGAAAAGGGGCTCAAGGACCAGGCCCACCCAGAAGAAACTGGAACCTTGACAGCTTCAAGAGCAGCTGGAACTGCTGCCAAAAAGCAGAGGAAGAGAGAGGAGAGGGTGGGGGAGAAAGGCTGTTTGCTTGCCTATCTCCAGCTCCCGTCCCTTGTCCCTTGTAATTGGCTGTAGCCAGTTGGGGACCAGCTATGCCTGCAGGAGGTAGCCTCAGGGGCACAGAGCAGAGCAGGTAGAGGGCGGGGTTGGAGCCCTGGGCAAGCAGGTCCAAGAGGAACAGCAGTCTGATAAATGAGTGTCAGGTGGAGACGGGGTGGGGGGGGGTGGGGGGGTCCTAAAGAAGACAAAAGGGAAGGGGAGGGAGATGGAGACACTGTCTCAGCTGGTGGGGAGCCCTCTGAGGGGGCCACTGTGAAAGTGGCCAGGTGGAGGGAGACGATGAACCATGTGGCTGGCTCTGCTTCCAGGCAAAGGACCAGTTAGAGATAAATTCTTTCAATAGGTTGGCATATTTTTCTCCAGATTTTCACTGTGCATATAGCAGGCTTTTAATTAAAAAAGTAGTTGTTGATGCTGTGTCCACTGTTTTTTCATGTTAACGGTCTATCTTCCTTTGTCTTTTAATGACTGTGGAACACTTTATCATGTGGATGTGCCTTCACTCTTAACCAGTTCTCCACTCACAGACATTCAGGTTACTCCCAGTTTTTCAGTAGTAGAGAATTACCGTAAACACCTCATACAATACATTCAAATGTGTGGTGTTTCTCTAAGACAGTGTTCTCAACCCACTTGAAAAGGCTTAAGGAAATACTGATGTTTACATTTCATTCAGACCAGCTTTAAAATCAGCATCTCTGAGGAAAAGGGATCCTGGACTTTGATGTTTTTAAAAAGCTGCTCAGGTGATTCCAATATATAGTCAGGCTTGAGAACCACTGATATAGGACAGTTCTGAGAAGTGGAACTGCTAAGTCAGTGATAAAAACATCATAAATTATAGTAGATATTTTAACATTATTCTATCAGTATTAGGGTTAGTAGCAATGGCTAGTAATAGAAACAAAATAAATTTTATGTAGCTTACTTTATGTAAATATCCAAATACCAGCACCTCAGGGCTGGTATGGCCATTTCGGTCCCTGCGTCCTTTTAGCATTTGTCTTGCTAAACTAAGGTAAGCTCCAAGGCAGAGGTTAGGGCTCCTGCCACAACTCCACATTCCAGATAGCAGAGTAAAGGAAAGATGGGAAAATGAAGGAGGCACAAGGCATAGGTCAGCTGTGCTTTTAAAAAGATGCTTAGAAGCTCCCACAGAGCACTTCGACTTATATACTATTGGCCAGAACTTGGGCGTGAGTCTACACTGGCCACAGGGAAGGGTGGGAAACAGGCCCTCTTCTGGGTGACCTGTGTGTCCTGATAAAAACCAGGTGTTCTTTTAATGGAAGAAGAGGAAGGCTGACATTGGCAGCCACCAGCCGTCTCTGCCGTGTCTTCCACGAAAACTGTAAGAATCTGCCCTTGTACCCAAGAACACAAGTGCCCATTGCCCAAACCTGGTCGGTCAGAACTTGGCAGCCAGCCAAAAGCTTCAGTGCAGTGATCAAAACTTTAGACAATACACTGACACAAGGAGAGGCTAAAGGGATTTAAATCAGACTTAGGAAAGATGCTGAAGAGTTGTAAACTTTATCAGATAATAAACATAGAAGGCCAGTTTTTAAATTATGTCCAATTCTTTGCGTCTGCTCAGTATTTTCAGCTGTCATACCAGAGGGTTACCTTTCAGTATTGCAGTTGTTATTTATTTGCTAAAATGCACAGATTAGTCTGAATATTAATGTTACCTACCCTCATTTGACATTCGGATCAAAGAGGATCTCTTAATACATTATTTTTATATTTCTATTTTCTTTTTGAGACAGTCTCAAGCTGTCACCCTCGGTAGAGTGCTGTGGTATCACAGCTCACAGCAACCTCAAACTCTTAGGCTTAAGCAATTCTCTTGCCTCCACCTCCTAAGTAGCTGGGACTACAGGTGCCTGCCACAGTGTCTAGTTATTTTTTTGTTGCCATTGTCATTTTTGTTTTAGCTGGGCAGGGCCGGGTTCGAACCTGCCAGCCTCCGTGTATGTGGCTGGCACCCTAACCGCTGAGCTATGGGCGCTGAGCCTATTTTTATATTTTAAATTAAAATTTTTTTAAATTAGGAAATGAAAAGTAACTTAATATGTGATATTTTGTTGTTGCAGTGGATGAAGGTCGCTGTAATGAACCTGACCGGTTGCAAGTGTTTCACAAGAAAGCCATCATGCCTTACGGTGTTTATAAGAAGCACCAGAAAGATCCAAGTGAGGAGGCAGCCGTGATGCATTACGCCAGCCTGGTGGGGCAGAGGTGTTCAGAGAGGATGCTGCTGTTCAGAAGCTGAGCCAAGCTCCCTGTGTGCTCATGGTTTTGTGCCACGGTACCTCCTCAGCTCCTCTGGGAAATATTGTAACCAGCTACAAATTAGACTTTTTTTATTTTGACTATCCTATGGCTTTAAGACAATATTTTGTGGCAGCATATTTGTGAGACTCTCATGGCTATCATAAAAACCTAAAACTATGTTATGACCTGCGTTTATTGTTTTAGGGGGTTGTTTCTGGAGCAAGATATGCTAAACTTCTCGTTAATATTTTAGAGCGTAAAATTAAGTGAATCTAAGTAATTTAATCACAGTTGTGCTTATTTGTTCTGTTCAACAAGCTGAAACAGGCTCTTTCCTCAGACCCATTTGAAACAGAGGTTATGCTACAACAGAAAACCTTCAGTATGGGGATGGTGTAAAGTCTGTTTCCTCACTTAGCAAATACATCTCCTTGCAAGAACAAAGCAGTGCTGTTACTCAATGTTCAATGTTAAGTTGCTGCCAAATGTTCTGTTATGTAGCTTAATAGAGATCTTAAAGAAAAAACTATAAACATTTACAAAAGATCTTGTGTTAGCATTGTCAGGACAGGTCTGTTCATGTCTGTTACTTTGGCATAATTTCTTCCCTACAATACTTGTTATTAGTGCTCTCTTTTACTCTCAAGTATCCCTGATTTGGACAATAAAAAATGTAATTACTCTATTATTTGCTTTTTTCTGAAAATCTAGGAAATGGAGTTTTGTTTTGTTTTTTTAAGAAAAATGTTTATTTCTGGTTTGATGCAAGCCTCATCCAAAGGAAATAGACACTAATTTTTTTTTCCTTAGAACTCAGGACACTTGTCTTTGGTTATTGATGAAAAGTAGTTATTGTCTGGCTGCTTTTACAGCTGTGCCGCAATCACATTTTCGTAGGAACCATCCTGACCTACATGTTCCTGGCTAAGAGGTGAAACAATCCATTTCTGCCCTTTGATTTGAGAGCCAGAGAGGAGATGCTACCCTTGGTGATCCCGACCCCTTTGCCTGTTCAACAAGTGCCCACTGCCAAGGTAGCAGGCACCACACCAGGTACAAGGAGGAGAATCCTACACGTCAGGTCTCAGCTCCGATCAAGTTGTCTTGGAAACAGGATAAAGACACAAGAGGGTTATGTTCCTGTGTTATTGGCCTCTTTCTCAGCCAATCCCTGCTGCTGCTGCTACTGCTGCTTGTCCACCAACCCATGGCAGTCCCCATTTTGCCCATTTTTCGGTTTTCTATTGATTGAACTTTTTAACATTTATAAAACTTAGTAGTTTGAATCTCATCACTGACTTTAAACTTTTCTCTAAAGGGCATTTAATGTCAATTAAACATTTAGAAAATAACCTTCAGCTGGTTAGAATAAAAAGACTATGAAACAATGATTTTAAAAATCAACTGTCTATAAATTCAGTGTCCAAGTCAACTGTATTTCTTCATTCAGCATGTGTGTATCACACTTGCTGTGTTCTGGGTACTTGGCTTACTGGGACAACATTAGTGAACAAAGCCATTTTCTTTGATTATAAAGATTTTACATGGAATTTTTGACCTTCAAAATAGTTTCCTAAGAGCATTTGAGAAACTTTCTATTAGAACTGCCCTAAGAATATATAGGACATTTTTTCTTATTCCTCTAAAATGAAGATAGCTTCATTTTATGATTTTTTTGGATTATAAAAGTGATACTATAAGCAGTTAAAACTTTCCGAAAAGTATAAATAAGGAAATATAATCTAAAATCCTGCCATACACAGAGAAAGATAAGAACTGCTATATGTTCATATACACACATATAACTTTAATAGACATAGAATTATGCCCTACTTGCTGTTGTGTCCTCAGCAGTAAATTAGAGGCTCATATGAAATCTGAAATTTAAGTAGGGTAGGATCAGCACTTAGTTCCCTCGGCATTTGGATGTCCTGTTGATGTCCCCAGCTGCATCACATCCTACTGTCATCTTTGTGATTAGCTGGTTGAAAGGGCAACATTCAGAAGATCACAACTCTTGGGTATGAAATGATACTTAAGAGTTGTAATCCAACATCTTAACCATAACTCTGCTTTCTTCCTGCAGAATCCATTTTGGATGCCCTCAGAGGAAAATGATTTGTCACCTCTGTTTGTGAACCACTGTGCTGTCCCTGAGGGTGGCATTCTAGGTTGGCTCCAGCGAAGCTTCAGAGTGATGGGGCATGAACATTCTTCAATTCAGTAGCTATATTCATGCATATGGTTTTTTGAAAATAGATAATGTATTGATTCTGGTAGCCAGAGTGTCTTCAAAGGATACTCTTAGGAGCCCTAGTTGAGTGGATATCACTAGTGGGCTAGAAAAGGACAGTCAAAGAAAATGACCCAATTCTGTTAGTTGACAAGCAGCCTGGCCCAGAGATACGATTTCACTGTAATGGTTTTCATCTAAAGAAAGACACACGAGGCTCGGCGCCTATAGCTCAACCGGCTAAGGCGCCAGCCACGTACACCTAAGGTGGCGGGTTCGAATCCCCAGCCCGGACCCGCCAAACAACAATGACGGCTGCAACCAAAAAATGGCCGGGCGTTGTGGCGGGCGCCTGTGGTCCCAGCTACTTGGGAGGCGGAGGCAGGAGACTCGCTTGAGCCCAGGAGTTGGAGGTTGCTGTGAGCTGTAATGCTACGGCACTCTGCCCAGGGGGACAGCTTGAGGCTCTGTCTCAAAAAAAAAAAAAAAAAAAAAAAAAAGAAAGACACACGAGAACTTTCAAACACAGGTTATGTTTTTCCCAGACAGGAAGCTTTGCCTTTGCTATCTTAGCCTGTACCCCTTTTGATTTCAAATAAGTTTACACTTACCTTTCTGTCTTGGGAGCGAAGATATAATTTTGATTTTCCATGCTATCATTTTATTTAAATTATTTCAGGTCTACAAGATTTTTGTTATTTTTTAATGTTATCTGAGCACTTTTTTACATTCTAAAAAATAAAGACTATTATCAGATAAATATATTCATTTGATTAAGATTATTTAGATAAATTATTGTTTATGTTTGCTTTGAAATGGCTTATTTTTCATCCATTTTGCAAATATCAGTTATGTGTGGTTTCTTAACATGTCAAAATCTATTATGTAAAAATCTTTACAGATTTTTGGAAGGTATAGGGTTTGATTTTATAGAAATTGAATTGTTTCAGTATGAATGAAGATGAGAAAGAACATGATGAACAGTTAACTAAAGTGTATTGTTAAAGGAAAAATGAGGTGGAAATAGTTGGGAAATGTTTGGATTTGAAATTATTCAAGTATAATCTTTTCAAAAACAGAACCAATGAATGTAGTCAAAACAAGTTGCATGTGATACTTTTTGTTTTTGTATATACTTTTTCAATAATCCATTTGATAAAGCTTGAATGGAAAAAAAATAAAGCTGTTTTTATCTGCAGTGGTTCTGGCTTAATTACTTCAAAGACATATATTTTGATCTTTTAATTACATTTCACCTGCTGGTAATATGTAGCAAACAGAGTTTTAACATAGCCTCCTATACAAATCATAAAATTTAATGTTCTGTAACTGGAGTTCCAGACAGGTTGGTTACCTAAATCAAAGAATGGTGTATTCCTCTCTCAGAAATAGAATAAAATATATTTCACTCTAAGCAAAAGGTCTAGACTTTTGCAAAATAAAGAATAGACATTTTTTCCCCAAAGAGATTGAAATTAGGACTTTCAATTAAGTGGCAAACACAAATATAATTTCCCTTCTAAAGACTTGTTTAGAGAGACATTTTGAAAAAATACCTCTTAAAGTATGCCTTAATTGTTCATAAGGGTTCACAGTGTATTTATGAAATACATTTTCTAGTGTTTTCTTATAATAAAGTAGAGTAGGTTGGTGAGCAATTAAATCATATTTCTAAGTGATTTAAATACTCCACAATGGAAATATCTTTATTATTTTCTTAATTGAAATGGACAGTGTTTATCAGAAAACATCTGCACAATATAGGAAATAATACTGATGAAAATAAAAATTACTTTTAATCTTAATTGCTACTATTGACTGCCATTCACATTTTTGTATTTTCCTTTCTCCAGATTTTTTCTACCTACATATGTGTATGTATATGTCTTATTTTTAAAGAAAAATGGAATCATGTATCTTATTTCATTTTTTAAATCTATTTACTATATTGTGACCATCTTAATATAATATAACCATGAAAATAAATGAGGAGGAACATAATCTTTTTAAGGCCTGCATGATATTCAGCTTTGTAATCTTTTGGGAAAAAGGGCTTGAGACTTTGCGGCCCTTTCTTATGGATAGTATGAGTTGTAATTAATCAGCATTTAGTAGTTTCTTATCAGTTCTCTGTAACAGTTGGTACAATAGACTGAATGTTTCATGTCTTCCCAAAATTCATACACTGAAATTCTTACACCCACTATGACAGTGTTAGGAGAGGCCTTTGAGAGATGATTAGGTGATGAGGGTATAGCCCTCCTGAGTGGGTTAGAGCCCTTAGGAAAGAGGCCTGGACAGCTTCCTTGCCCCTTACACCTTTTGCAGACACAGTAAAGGCACCATCTGTGACCCAGAAAGCAGGCCCTTGTCAGACACCAAATCTGTCACCTTGATCTTGAACTTCTCAGCTCCAGAATTGTGAGAAATAAATTTCTATTGTTTTAAGGCCACCAATCTATAGGATTGTCATGACAACCTGAATGACATTCTTATCCCTAGTTCCCTCTGCCTTTCACCAGATAGTAAGCATTTTCTCCTTACCTGAAGATTCAGGGAACATGTTGCTTTTAAAATTATCGTCCCTGCTACTAGATATTTTCTGGGAGACCTACACTACTGTGTTCACAGTTTGCATGCCTCTGAAATTTCCAGTTAGAATTGTTCGTTTTCCAACTTAAGGTCGTTTAGCAGAGGTCTTTAAAATGGGTTTATTAGAAAGATTTACTAGAAAGGATGCATAATCATGTATTACTAACTTAGCTAGGATTTTTACGTTTTACAATATATTGGCTATTGATTTTGATATTCAATCCAAGTAGAAATGCATCTAGTTGGTTGTCACAATTGGTCTCTTCAATCCAGTCCTATCCAGAAACTATTGTCCTATGAACTATTTCAGTAAGACCAAGAATTAGAACATCTAAATATATTTTGTTTCCCCCCAATTTTTATTCTTTTAGAGCAATGGTTCTCAACCTTCCTAATGCTGCAGCCCTTTAATATAGTCACTATGGGTCACGACCCACAAGCAGAGAACCGCTGTTTTAGAGCTTACAGATACAGACAGCTCAGTTTCCTCATATCTCTTCATCCTCAATATAAAGAATCAATTCCAAATAAAAGTGCTGTTACAAAAACACTGGGCTAGCACATCTTCCTGTTACGTGGCATTTGTGACGGCGCTCGGTGATTCAGACACCGTAGAGGGCATCCTTCACTTGTCTGGCTGCATAATGCATCCTCTGAGTGACTAGCACAAATATTGTTCTTTTGATCATTAGTGTCTGGCTAAATGGTTTTTAAATTTTATTTATTTTAATATTACAAGCTAGAGCCATTATAAGAAAAAGATAAAAATATTGTATTCTTAACTCATATAATTCAACTATATGATTTTTGATTGAATGTTATTCTGAATTTTAATTTTTCAGACTTGCCAGTCTGTGCCAGGGTCTTAAAAATCATTTAACATAGGGC